AAAATCAACCGGCTTGACGAAGAAATCAAGTGCTCAAGCTTTCGAAAGTGATGCTCTCACTTAATCCACTCTCGTTTCACTCAAACCCTAAGGGAATAGAAGATTAGAGCAAAGGGGGAATGAGAGGGGTGCTTTAGTTGCTTGGGAGCTGTTGAGCACGAAGTGAGTCAACTGTGAAATGAGTCCGTAACGGTTAGAAGTGAAGAGAGGAGTATTTATACTCCAAGTGAAAATCCAACCGTTCAGATCTACGTCAGAAGTTCCGACGCAGATCTCGGGACTTCCGACGTAAACAGAAAATACTGTTCACAATAGGTCAGAAGTCCGCGCGTGCAAGTCAGTGTCGGAACTCCCGGCAAATGTCGGGACTTCCGACGTTCGTTGGGACTTCCGACCTACACAGTTAAGCAAATGCTAGTCACCTCGGATGCCGGGACTCTCGGCTTGGGTTAAGTCAGTGTCGGAACTTCCTATGGTCGGAGCTTCCGACGAACGTCGGGAGTTCCGATGCATGTACGATGACCGATCGACCAATCAAAAGCACTCTGGTGCTTAGGACTTCCGACCGTCGGAAGTTTCGACTTACGTCGGGACTTCTGACGCCGACAGTCACAGAAAAATATTCTATGTGCTCATGAAGTGCTAGAGTGTCCCATTTTTGATTTTATTATTATGCTTGAGCACTCTATCTTCCTCAGACAAAATAACTTTGCATCCCTCTTTATAATACGGTGGATCCTAAACTCAAAAACAAAATTAAAACCTTTGGAGAGTGTTTTGAGTTCGTCCGCCTTTTCAACTTCAAGAATTGAGGGATATCATTTCATCTTTATCAACTCTTTGAATCTTTCATGGGACTAATAGCTGCGATATATCTCATTAAGATCACATTAGTCCCTAATTTGGATGTCATCAATACACCAAAACCCACATAGGGGGCAAATGCACTTTCACTACCCCGGCGCCGCGACGAACGCACAATAGGCCAAAAACCCTAGCGGCCCGGCTGCAGATCCTTGCTGGTCGGCCATAGCTCCGGCGCCGCCGCCATCACTCCAGGGATCTCGCCGCCCCCGCCGAGGACACGACTCCGGCCGGATCTAAGGACGCCCCGCCCTGACAGTGATGGCTTACGAGGCCGCAGCACAGCTCCCTCAAAAAGTCAAAGGTGCCCCCAACCCCCACTCCGTCGTGTGCGCCGCCCCACCCCGGATCCATGGTTGCGATGGCGGAGGCTGGATCATGGTTACGATGGCAGAGGCTGGTTCCACGATGGCCTTCCCCAACGTCTCTGTCCGCCACAATCTCTATGGCTGTGAGTCCACTCTCTACCTCCCTCTCTGGATCTAGCATTTCACCCAATATGAGCAGGGAGCAATTGCAGGCGGTCATGTTTAAATTAATCATGTTTCGCTTTTGGATGCAACGTAGGTGTTTGATGGTATTCCACTGCAAAGAGGAGCTCCAGTCCTATCTACATCTTGGAGGTATGTGATTTAGAATTTTGGGTCAGTTGCTTGCCTGCAGTTCATTCTTTAGAATTGAATACTAATGAAAAATGTTGTTGCCTCTACTATCTGATGAAAAGCAGCTAGCTCCTTAACTCCTTATTATCAATATCAACCGTACTCTGTACTTGCATGTGTATCATAAGATTTGTGCTGAAACTCACCCATCGCTGCCCATATGCTCAGAAAAGAGCCATTGCCATTCTGCCACTAAAAGTAGAAACCCCTATGTTGCCAGATGGGAGGCACCCTAGAAGGTAGAAGCCCCTCACCCTAAGCCCAAGCCCCAGCACAACTACTTCATCGTGATGCTTGGTTCCAGACTCTGCACTTCTGCAGCACCCGTGCTTCCATGACGAGGGGCAAGGTAGCTCGCCTGTCTGTGCGCACACTTCTAGTTGAGAAATCATTCTGAATCCTCCAAATAGATGGTAACATAGAGTGCCTGTAATCAAATATTTTAAACCGGTTGTCAGTATGCAAAATGCACCAAAGTAAAGTATTTACATGTTGTCAGTTCAGCGAACATATACTAAGGAAGCCATTCAAACCTAACTGCTTGTTGATTTTATAAAAATAATAATTTTTGTTTGCATTTTACTATTTTATTAACAATCCAACACGGCACTACTTTTCCTTTTTTATATATTCAACCATAATGAGCTGCAAATAACAATTATCTGCTGCAACATGCTCTAACCCTGGTAAGCTCTGTTTTTTTAATGTTTTTTCAACTTTTTCAAGGTGATCTTGATATTTAGTTTAACGAGACAACTGATCATTTTTAAATCGGTTTGGCATTGTCATGTACTTTATGACCTGATCAATGTACTTTCATTTTCATTGTTCATAGTTCTGAAAAAGGAGGAGAAGAAGGAACTTATCCAGAAGAGTGAGAGATTGAAGCAACCACTGAATTCCGTAGGGGTGAGTGCAGCTTGTTTCTGTGATCTTTGAAATAATGTTGAAACACGGGATGCTCGATCACCCACCAGAGACTAAGATGGAGATTGGAGACCTCACTCGGACCTATCAATGACCCTGCCAGAGTCAAGATCATCCAAATGTGCTGAAGTTCCACCTTAAAGACAAGTTTTGGGTGTTGCTAATAGACAAGACATAAAAAGGTTAGGTGCAAGTCGAGGTTTATCCACAATGAAAAAATTCATAACACGTCCAAGAGATGACATTGTAATGTTTTGTTCCAAGAAATTAATTTTGAAAGACACGTCTGTGTCGCACGTGCATGTCTACTAGATCTTATAACTTGCTTTACCGCATTATTAATTTATTAATAAGTATGCAATGTGCTAATAATACATGTGTTGGTGTTGCAGTTGAGGTTATTTCCACTACTCAGGTTAGGATTCGTAGCAAATTCCAATTATGCATGTAGTTGTATGGCAATTAATAGAGTTGCAATGTAATTATCCATAAAGAAAAACATTGGAATGTAATTTGAGGGAGTACCAGTTTGTGATATCTTTCTATGGTTCTAATTTACACACCTGAAAGTTGTCGTAGCGTTAGCACGGGCATACTACTAGTTGGCATAAAGGAAGCAACACAAATGGGCCGATTTGGGCAATACCAGCTCAAGAATGTTGAATTGCACTGCCATCTCAATTATTTTTCACATAGGGTCTATTGCTGAGATGAATAACATATGTGACAATGGATCTCCTTGTCTTAGACCACCGGCATGTTTGATGGTTCTGCAGACATTTCCATTTACAATCACTTTGGAAGATGAGGTTTGCCCAGGATTGCAGTCATCCAGTTTCTCTATTTTTGCCAAAATCCAAAAGCTTCTAGGACTCCTAGGAGATAGGGCCAATTTATGGAGTCAAAGGCCTTTGAATGTCTAGTTTTATGAATAGGGTTGGTCATTTTGTTGTTGTTGTTGTGTAGGCTTCCAATCATGTTCACATAAAGAAAATTATGATGTATAAATCTTCCTTTTATCAATGCATTTTGTGAATATGAGACTAGCTCGTTAAGCCTAAATGGCATTCTGTTGGCAAGAACCTTCGTAATCATTTTCATGAAGCTGTTCATTAGGGTGATTATTAGCCAATAATCACCCAGTGTCATTGCATTTACCTTCTTCAGTAGCAGAAGAGTCATTGTTTGGGAAAAGCTTATGCCACTCTGATTCTAGTGAACACCGCGGTTGGTACATCTACTCCTGCAAACACACACAAAGAACACCAGCGCATACAGTTAGCGGCAAAAGAAGCGTAGAACGGTAGCTCCAAAAGATCTAACAACCCTAGGCCTGACGCCTACTCAGCAAGGCGGCAGAGCACTAAACAATCACAGAAAGCGTGTGTGTGTGTGTGTGCAAGCCAAGAGAACGAACTGTATGAAATTAGCAACAGGATGATCATGCACGGGAAGTGTTTTCTGCCAAGTGCCAACGATCAGAATGGCCATTTTAAATGTTTTGTACTGACGTTTGGGCTTGGGCCGCCAGTTGGATCGGCAGCAGGACTACACAGCAGTACACGGCATCAATAATTGAGAAAACAGCCAGTGACGACAATTAGTTTTCTACGGTTAAACTCTCATTATGCCGGATTCTTTTAAATCCAAATGGAAAGATCTTCCAATATATCGACACGCATACGAAAAAGAAACGACAGTCTGGCGGGGAAAAATGGAGTTGTCTTGATTTTCGTTGGAATGGAACCGCGTGAGAAAATCAGAAAATGAGTTGGCTTGATTTGCATTGGAAATTGGAATGGAACCGCGTCAGAAAATCAGAAAATGATCGAGCTTGTGATATCTTGTTGGGTTGGTGCGGCCGTGCGGGCCGTGCGTATCTTGCACTGGTGCCGGGGTCCGGGGGTGCAGTCTCCTCTCGGCAAGCCAGTTATACTCAGTTGCTTCTGTTGGCGTCGCGGCATACCTTGGTGCTGTCCACGTGAATCCAGCCCAGAGACCCAGGTCCGCCACAGCCATCCTCCGTGACGACCACCGTCCTCCCAAAGTCCCACGTCTCGTCAGCCGTGAGCTCACGAGTTGCGCGCGCGCGCGCCCGCACCCACCGGCTGGCCGGCGCTCACACGAACGGCGCACGTACTCGGCTCAGAAATCGGAATGAATGCTAGCAACCGAACGCGAAGCCTATGTGCGCTATCTACTTCTCTGTAGTACAAAGCATGGCGCTTGGCGCGTACGCTAGAGGCTAGAGCCAAGAGCAGATGCGGTTGAGATGCGTCACGTGTGCCCGGTTCACGTGAAGTTCTCCGATGCCAGCTTTACAGACATTCTCCTCCCTTTCTTTCCAATCTCATCTCATGTCAACGACAGCAACACAGTGTCCAGTCAGTGACTGTCAACGCTACCATGCATTTACCCCTTTTACCAGGGTCTCTTTGTCTTTTACGTACACCTTTGGAGTGGTATGGTAAGAACTAAGAAGAGCATACGAATGGCAGAACGAAACAAAATGAATGAAATCTATAACCCCTTCCCCGTCGCACGCTCTCACTGCTGTGCCTGTATTTGGACCCAAATCCCCTCGCTGGGGATGTGCCCGTTCACCACGAACACCATGTAGTACCCCGGTGGCGCCAGCACCGCCGTCGCCGGCATCGTTACCGACGCATTGAACGTGCTGGCCCGGCCGCGCACCGCCACATTCTTGGTGACGTCAAGGAACAGCAGCCGCTGGTTCATCGCGAACGAGTGCGTCGTGAACGACGGCGCCACCATCGTCACCGACACGTCACCGAGGAGGCCCGCGGCGCCGCCATGCCGTCTCCGCACCGATGCCGGGACCGAGAACTGGAGCGCCATCGTCGCCCCGTAGGCCACGCTCGTCGGCGCGCCGGTGGGGGACGGGTCGAGGATCCTCGGGCGGAGCATGTCGTTGGACGCGTCGAGGTACTCCGGCGAGAAGGCCTCCAGGCTGAGGTCGGTGGGGAACTGCACGTTGCTGAAGTTGTAGTAGGTGTGCGGGTTGCTGCCGCCCACCAGCAGGCGGCCGTCGCGGAGCAGCACCACCGAGGAGTGGTACAGCCGCGCGACGCCCGTCGCGGTCTGCTCCTCGAACCGGTCCCCCGGCGAGTGGTCGGGACGGTAGACGACGGGCGCGTAAGCGGGGGTCTTGGCGGACTCCCACCCGGCGGCGCCGTCCGCGGCGCCGTTGATGATTGCCACCTCGGCGCCGTTGGGCAGCAGGATCATGTCGCCCATCACCCGCGGCGACGGCATAGTCTCGATGACCCACGCCGGCGCGGCGTCGGTGATCTTGATCCGCCCGCACGTCGTCAGCGCCGGGACGAAGGTGCCGGCGCCGCCCTTGGTGGAGTTGTAGGAGCCCGCCGGCGCGCCGCCGCAGACCAGCACCTCGGCCTCGGTGGGGTTGGGTTTCAGCGGGAGCAGCACCGAGGAGCCCGAGCTGGGGTAGTTCCGCGGGTCGCCGTCGCCCAGCACGGGGTACGTCCGCACGATCTTGTTACTCTTGTAGTCCAGCAGGACGGCGCGGTTGTTGGAGAAGATGAAAAGGTTGCCATCTATGTTGAGGTGTACGAACGGATAAAGATTGTTCTCCTCGGGATCCTTGGTCTGCACCAAAAATGGCATTTGGACGACGGACGTATCCGAAGGGCCGGCCTTCGGGTAGAACTCGTAGCTGAACTGCCTCCGGCCACCCAGGATGAACGCGCGGCCGTCCGGGAGGATCTGGTTGGTGGCGTACCACCGGTTGGCGGCGAGCGCGTCCTGCTTCTCGGACCAGTCGCAGCTCTTGTCGTCACCGGTGCCGCCGCACGCGGGCATGGTGCGCGCGTTGCGGAACCCGTCGTTCCAGCCGCCGGTCTGGACGAGCGTGCCGTCGGGCGCGACGGTGCCCGAGGAGCACCAGGTGTCGGTGAAGACGGAGAGCGGGCGGAACGCGTTGGCGGCGACGTCGTACTCGGCGGAGTGCGCGGTGCAGTCCCCTCGAGGGAGCACGCGCTCCCGCGGGTTCACGCGGCAACGGCCGTCGGGGAGGGACAGGTTGGAGCGGCCGAAGTCGGTGCGGTCGAAGATGATGACGCGGTCGTTGTGCAGCAGCTGCATGTGCATCGCCGACACCCCGATGCTGCTCTGCAGGAGGTCCCACCTCCCGCCGGCGCCGCCCGCCGGCTCAATGCCGCCCGCGCAGGCGCACGCGACGAGTAGGAGAAGAACGGCGAGGTGGCGGGCACGGTTCTTCGTCTTCTTCGCTACTACCAATGTACTAAGCTCCATGGTTGATCAAACGATGGGACAGGCACAGGCTTGTAGATGGATGTAACGATACTGCGTCGTTTCAGGGACAGGTTTCGTCTTTGATTCTGTTATCTAGGTTAAGCGCGGGTGTTTAGCTCCTGAGCAGCAAAGCTTAGATATATATATGCGGCAGTGCACAAGGTTTGACCATTTTTGCCCCCTGATTTTCATTTTCACACGGTAACAGTAATAAACCCTCTAGCTAGCTAACGCGTTTACGATGGAATTTGGTTCAGACGCTCGAGTGAGCTTTGGCCAGGTTGGGATTTTTTTTATAGTAAGTACGATTTTTATTTGGTCGATTGATGGCCCTGCATTAACTAACTTCGTTATTTGCACTGATGTTTGGTTTTTCGGTATGTATTCATGAGTCCACGACTACCAACCATCCAGCCCGGTAATTTGGCTCGACCGTCGTGCGTCGTGCGTCCCTGTTTTTTTTTTTTTTTTTTTTTGCCCCATTCATTTGGTCTGTACGAAAGTTTTTGGTCTACCGAAAACACGTCTCCTACCGAATTGTGTTGAGAAAAACAACATTTATTCTACCGAAAAAATAAAAGTGGTAGAAGAAGCCGAACAAGGCCTTTGTGGTAGAAGAAGATCGGAGTACGTACTTCCCTGCTGAGTGCTGACCCATCCAAGACCACGAGCACGTACGGCATGATGTGCTGCTGCCTTATCCACCATGGTGGCTTGGCCCGCCCGCAGCGTACGTGCCTGTTCGGAGACCGCGACGTACGTCGGACTCCGGAGAAACCGTGCACACCTGAACAACAGCAGACGGACCCCCTCTTTGCGTCGCGAGACGAGCGAAAACGCCCCGCGCAAGCCAGGCTCGCAAACGATGGTCGTGTAGTATCGTCCTAGCCCCATCCCCACACCCGGCGCAGGCGCGCAACATGACAGGAGTAAGCAAAGATGAGACAGGTGGGGAGACACCCACGGGCCACGGCGACGGCCCTACCACCATAGTCCGATCCATAGCTAGGTGCCGCGGCCCGCGGGTCGGACGAACCACGCGGCGGCTCACGTCGTCGCGTTGCGTTGCTTTGCCTCGAGGCTTTGCTGGACGCTCCCACGCCCCGCGTGCATGTTGTCATGTGGCCACATGCGGCAGAGAGAGATAGCCATAGGAGTATGAGTATCCGCTGGCCGGGTCGGACCGTAGCGTGGCCGGGTAGGGTTACATGCATGCATACGGCGCATATGGGTTTCTCGTCTTTCGTGTGGTGCCCTGGAACCGGAAGGAAAAGGAGGTAGCAACAAACGGCGGAACGTGACGCAAACGAACAGTGGATGTGTTTTGCCGTCTTGGATTGGATGGCCGAGCACGGGCGATAGAGCACCGTGCCGGGCTGCATGAGGGCTCTTGGCGTTTACGGCGCTCACGGCTCACCAAACCGAGCGGCGGTGCAGCCTAGCCTAGCCATGCCGCCGAGCTGGAGGCTTGGTTCGTTTTAAAAACGGGCACCAATGATATGCGAACCATTCAGCGTTTCACTCAACTCGGACATCGATTTATATTAACCGTTTGAGTTAATTCTTAAATCGATTTATATAAAAGAAAAAAAGTCTACTTAACCCTTTGAGTTTTGGCCTGTGACTACTTAACCCCCAACTATGAGACCAGGTATTCAACACATTAAAGTTGTCAAAACTGGTCAAAGAATCTCCTGAGGTGGTTTTGGTGGGCTATTTTGCTTGCGTACTTGGACATCCAGCGTGGCGTGGTTTGACACGGTGGCGCTTGGGCCCGCTTGTCAGAAATGCTGAATGGATGGACTCGGTGGGCCCGACCTATCAGAGTCGTGCCTCCCCCAAATACGCCTTCCACTCCTCTGTCTCTAAACATCCGCACTGGCTTTAGCTCTTGGACAGTGTGGATGATAGTTGGTCGTATCTTTTGGGAGCCAGCTTTACGAGCAAACGTGCTTATAATTCCATTGTGGGCACCAGTCCAGCCCTTCGGCAATTTGTTTGGCTTTGGAAAAGTGGCTGCAAAGGGCGCCATAAATTCTTTTTCCGACTCTTGTTACTGGACAGATTAAATACAAGGAATCTTTTGCGCCACAAGAATTTCTACCTGCAGTCTTATGATTGTGTGTTGTGCAGCAACAATGTGGAGGAAACTCTGGAGCATTTATTCTTCGATTGCACTTTTAGTGCGTGGTGCTGGCGTCTAGTTGACTCACTTGGGGACCCTCGCTATGCATCATGGAGAGGCTGCAATCTACCCGAGTTGGTTTGGTGCACCCATCTTTTATGGAGATTGTAATTTTAGTGGCTTGGTGTATTTGGACTTTGCACAATCATGTCATCTTTGATGGTATTGTACCTTCTCTAGGGCAGTTGAAGCGTAGTCATAGGGAGGAGCTTTTTCTCTCTCTTCGTCCACGAAGAAATATGTTCTTTAAATCTGATGATTCCTCGTTGGCCCATGCATAGAACCCACAGTCTTCCGCAGTTTGCAGCTTCAACAAATTGTTACCACATCGAACATATTAACCAAATTGGGGATTTGATGAAAAACTTACCCTAGACTTCCTGCATCTGTAGTACCTGCGGCTTGGCTGGCTGTTACTCCACGAGATCCACCTGCAAGCCTTCATCTTGCAGTAGCATTCCACCTGGGGCTCATACGCAAGAGGCACATTGCATTACGGCACCAGTGAGCCCTGACCGTCGTAGCCGATGCCAACTTGGTCGCTTGAAGCGGACCACCAAGACGAACGCGCACTTGACTCCGCCAACGACGGCGAAGAACTGACGCTTGACTCCACCACCGGCGCCGCCGCGATGCTCACCTCCACCCTAATCTAGCCGGCGCGGAACCTGTCGGTCGGAGAGGGACATAGACAGGGGAGGGGAAGGCGTATTTAGGGGAGGCACGACTCCGACAGGTCAGGCCCACCAAATCCGCCCATTCAGCATTTCTGACAAAGCGGGTCCAAGCGCCACCGTGTCAAACCACGCCACGCTGGATGTCCATGCAAGCAAAATAGCCTACCAAAACCACCTAGGGGGTTCCTGGGGGGTTTAAGTAGCACATGCCCAAATCTCATGGGGTTAAGTAGACCTTCTCCTTTCCCCGTTCGCCGCTGGGCCGGTGCACATGAGTACAGGGTTACAGGCCCGTCTCAGTTTGGAACGACAAGGCCCAACTAAACCAGCCGGATATATATATACTGCGTGGTAACCCTAACCGCCACCAGCCTCGGCCTCTCCTCCCGGCTCCACCACACGACACTCCAGCCGCTGCCGCGACAACGCCAGTACGCCACCGCCACCAAGCCTGGTCCGAATAACCCTGCTGGGCTACCGCCGCCGCCGCCCTTCGCCGATATATTCGCCGGCCCGAGACCTCAAGCACCAGCGCGGCGGCAGCGTCAGCGGCGGAGGCGGCCACCATGGCTGTTGGCAAGAACAAGAGGATCTCGAAGGGAAAGAAGGGTGGGAAGAAAAAGACGTGAGCTTGCTTGCCTGTTCGTCCAGTTATTCAGATCTTGCTCGGGCCGATTGCTTTGTTCCTTTATCCGGTGCTGATGCGTAGGTGTGGTTCTTCCTTGTGTTATGCAGCGTCGACCCCTTCTCTAAGAAGGATTGGTATGACATCAAGGCCCCGTCGGTGTTCAGTGTGCGCAACATTGGGAAGACTCTAGTGTCCAGGACACAGGGTACCAGGGTCTGTTTTTCCTTTCATTCTTGATGTTTTCTCCAGGACACAGGGTGGGTACCAGGGTCTGTTTTTCCTTTCATTCTTGATGTTTTCTCGTACTGCTTCTACGTTGTGGCGTGATGTTGCACATATATGTTCTGTCTATGTAGACCGCGGTAGGATTAGTTATCATATATTACTAGATTAGTCATCTACGGAGTAGTATCTTTGTGTTCGTTCCCGCGCTTGTGTCAAAGCTGTGGGGAATGATTTACTTATATCATCCGAAGAACTCTTAGGATCAAATGGACGATCTCGTTAGGGCGATCTTGATAGATCGTTAGTCAGTATCAAAGATCGCTCTCTCGCCTGCTTATTCTAATTTGTGTGCGAAGGGGTATTATTATGTGCCATGCAACTAGAATGTCATAGTTAATCTGCTGCTCCACTGATAATTAAGTATTAAGTCCCTGACTCCCTAAGTACGTCGGGCTCATTAAGGACATGTATAACAATGTTGTGACTAGTGTTCGAACAAGTGATGGAGAAGTGATGGAGACATGGATGACTTCCCGATTAGTATAGGACTACATCAAGGGTCAGCTTTGAACCCTTATCTGTTTGCCTTAGTGATGGATGAGGTCACAAGGGACATACAAGGGGACATCCCTTGGTGTATGCTTTTCGCGGACGATGTAGTGCTAGTTGATGAAAGCCGGATAGGAGTGAATCAGAAACTGGAGTTATGGCGGGAGACTTTGGAGTCCAAAGGTTTTAGACTTAGTAGAACTAAAACTGAGTATATGAGATGTGACTTCGGCACTACTACTTGGAAGGAGGAAGATATTAGTTTGGAAGGTTAAGTAGTGCCTAGGAAGGATACATTTCGATATTTAGGATCAATGCTACAGAGAGACGGGGATATTGATGAAGATGTTAGCCATAAAATCAAAGCAGGGTGGATGAAGTGGCGCCAAGCATCTGGTGTCCTATTTGACAAAAGGGTACTACAGAAGCTAAAAGGCAAGTTTTATAGGACGGTGATTAAACCTGCTATGTTGTATAGTGCAGAATGTTGGTCTACAAAAAGACGACATGTTCGACAGATAAGTGTCGCGGAAATGCGTATGTTGCGTTGGATTTGCGGTCATACAAGAAGCGATCGAGTTCGGAACGATGATATACGTGATAGATTAGGGGTAGCACCAATTGAAGAAAAGTTTGTCCAACACCGGTTGAGATGGTTTGGACATATCCAATGGAGACCTCCAGAGGCACCGGTGCGTAGTGGAATCCTAAGCCAGGATAGTAACGTGAAGAGAGGCAGAGGAAGACCGAAGTTGACTTGGGTAGAGGCAATAAAAAAGACTTGAAAGGATGGAATATACCCAAAGACTTAGCCTTAGATAGGAGTGCTTAGAAAACAGTTATTCACGTGCCTGAACCATGATTGCTTCTGTTGGGTTTCAACTCTAGCTTACCCCAACTTGTTTGGGACTTAAAGGCTTTGTTGTTGTTGTTGTTGTTGTTGTTGTTGTTGTTGTATGGCAGTTGCTCAAACTATCAGAAAGTCAATCTAATTTTGCAATTGCCTCAGTTTCTGATGTCCCGTCTGTTACTATTTGTCATGCTCATGCATTGATGCTACTTGACTTATTATGCATTTTCTCTGTTGGAATTTTTATGATGATCATGTGCTTCCTCTGTTGGAATTATTATGATGATTACGTGCTTCCTCTGTTGAATTATTATGACGATTACGTGCTTTTGATTTTATACCATAGCCAATAGCATTATGAATCCCCATTTATTTGGGGATCTTAACTCTAACTTGTTCTTTATCACAAGGTTATAGATCTCATTTGTTCACTATATCTTGATGAGTAATCAGTTACCTATCACTGAAGGTTACATGATCTCTTTAGTTATGCTGTTCCCTTTATGTTTTATCAGGTGCTACTCTATTTGCAACTTTATTCAGAACGTAGATACACTATTTGATGGCCTAATATGCTGATCCATGCATCTTTCCTGTTGTTTTAGATTGCTTCTGAGGGTCTGAAGCACAGAGTCTTTGAGGTTTGCCTAGCTGATCTTCAAGGCGATGAGGATCAGGCTTACAGGAAAATCAGGCTCCGTGCAGAAGATGTGCAAGGCAGGAATGTGCTCACAAACTTTTGGGTAAGTATCAGCCTTCTATTGCTCACAGCTGTTGCCCTTTTATTGTGTTTTCAGTCACTAACTTGTTCTCTCTATTATTAGGGCATGAATTTTACTACTGATAAACTTAGATCCCTAGTGAGGAAGTGGCAGACATTAATTGAAGCCCATGTTGATGTCAAGACAACCGACAACTACATGCTGCGCTTATTCTGCATTGGCTTCACCAAGAGGCGCCCAAACCAGGTCAAGAGAACCTGCTATGCTCAGGCATCCCAGATCCGGCAGGTAACGTTTCTGTCCTTATGACATACGTAGCAGAGTTATATAACTGTGCTAGCAACGACGACATCTCATACATCAAAGAGGCCTCTAAACTATGTTTGCTGCTGTCTCTTTGCCTTGTTCTGCATGCAGATCCGCCGCAAGATGGTGGACATTATGGTGAACCAGGCCTCTTCCTGTGATCTTAAGGAGCTGGTTTCAAAGTTTATACCAGAAGTGATTGGCAAAGAGATTGAGAAAGCTACCTCCAGCATCTTCCCGCTTCAGAATGTTTTCATCCGCAAGGTGAAGATCCTGAAGGCCCCAAAGTTTGACCTTGGGAAGCTTATGGAGGTAATTGCTGCATCCACAAAGTAATAATGTTTTTGGACAGCCTACCTGTTATTTATAATACAAACACTTGTTGCTTCTCAGGTTCATGGTGACTATAAAGAGGATGTTGGCGTGAAGCTTGAGAGGCCTGTCGAGGGAGATGAGGCTGGACAGGAGGTTGCGGCTACTGCGGAGTAGTATAGTCGTTCATCGCTGTTTTGCTGCTTTTCATATTAGAAGATATATCTGCAGCCACAATGCCCACCTTTATATTTGCTTTTGACATGAGAACTTCGTAGAATTGCCTGAGAAGGCGAGAATAGAACAAGGTTGTTTGGATCGTTCAATTTGTGGAGTACTAGTGCTGTGTAAGCTACTTTTGAATGGTGATCCAGTATCTCGTTCGTATGAGATGCACCATGCCCTTTTTAATAGCAACGGATAGTGGCCTAGAGCATCTCCAAGAGATGAGCTCATGGGCTTTTATGAATGTCAGTTAAGTTATACTCCCTACTTTGGACATCACTGATAGTGGCTTAGAGCATCTCCAAGTTATGAGCTGCTATCTTTCTCTAGGTGGATTTTAGAAATTTTGGAAGAAATAGAGCTCTAACAGCTTTTTTTTTTGGTATCTAATGAGCCAAAATAAGATGTATCCCTTCTCCCTAGCTATAGATGCACGCCGCCGCTGTTCGCGGTGGCTGGGTAGGTGGGAGCATCTGGAGTCGGTGTCGTTGTCTTGGTTGGAAAATGCACCTGGGCTGCGGTTCCTCCCAATGCCGCTGCCACTGCATCGGCCCCCTTCCCTGATATGAGCTCCCGGTGAGTTGGGCAGACTTAGATGCAATTTTTAAATTTCTCAATTGCTTCCGTGCTATGAGATCAGGTGAGTTGGACAGGCCTAGATGCGATTTTTAAATCTCTATTGCGAGATGTGGTTTGTGAGATGCATGAGCAGTGTTCCAAGTGCTTGGTGTTGCAACTGAAAGTATTGTGTTTAATTTTAAATCAATGACATGTTAGACAAAATCACTGAATTGGGCAGCATGATTACTGTAGCCTCATTAGCACTGTCCATGATATATTTTGGGCTATGCAGAAAGTGACAAGTGAAAACAAAATGCATTTGCATGCTACTCCCTTCATTTCAAATTATAAAATATTTTAGTATTTCTAGATACATAGATTTTGCTATGCATCTAGATATACACTTATATCTAAATACATAGTAAAATCAATGCATCTAAGAAAGCCAAAACATCTTATAATTTGGAATGGATGAAGTATATGTTGGAGATAGTACGGCAGGGCAATGTCTAAATTGCAAAATGACATAGCTGTGTATAAGTGTTAGAGATAAAACTTACATCTTCTTCAGTTATTGCTTCAGTGAAATGACTTTTCCCCTTTTAACAATTGCAACAGCAGGGTCCTCTTGTTACTGTCATCGTTGAAAAGTATAGGACTATCTATTAGCAATTTTTAACTGCTCAGGAATAGAGTACATTACCCGTATCTGGTACTCCTAAGATAAATGTTAACACATACTCGATGTGCTTCCAATGGAGAATTAAATGAACATCCTGGGGGCTCAACTTCAACAGTAGGAATAACTGATGTAGTTGCCTATATAAAGATTGCTACCATATGAAAATTGCAAGTGACACCAAATTCAGCATTCTTTGGCCCTGAACTGAAAGGGAATTTCTGTGATCGTTGTTGCTGGTTAATGTCTGGAGTTTGCTTACCAGAGACAATTCTAGGTTGCTGTTGCTGGTTGGGGACACGTCATCTGCGGTTGTTGTCAGGTGCTTGCATTTTCTTGATTTATTCTAGTATTTACCAGTGTTATTCTTTCGGCGCTATGTGACATGTCCGTCAATAACGAAAGACATGGTAATTTCATTAATCTCGAGATGTGTGTGCAGTACTGTAGTGTTCATAGGAGTAAGTGTGCATGCATATATGTAAGCGTCGTTATATGTACGATGACTCATAAAAGAAAAATCTAGATTTATTTTTTTTGAAACGAAAAAATCTAGATTTATGATATCATAAGACATGAGTACATGACATGTTAAGTTCATGGGGTGAGTATGTGCGCTTTGTCAGTGTCAGAGTTGTATTCTGTAATAAAAAAAAAGAACCACCATAACTTAAGGTTTCAGTAAATACATGTTGAATATACACTAATGTACAATGCGGAGAAACAGACACTATCGCCCATTTCGCTTGAACTTATCAGCCTGGCTTATCAGTCATGGTACAGTGTTTTTCTCTCACAATAAATTAGTTTCAGACGGCTTATCAGCCGCAGAAACCATCAGCCGAACAACTCGATTAATATGTTTATCGGAAAAATTACATACTCCCTCCGTCCCACAGAGTGTTGTTCTCATTTCTTGATAAGTTAATTTCTTTAAACTTTGACCAAATATATACAAAAAATATTAATATTTATGGTGCATAATTAATATCATTAGATAAATTACTAAATATATTTTTTTATAATAAATTTATTTAGAGATACAAATATTGCTAATATTTTCTATAAATCTAGTCAAACTTAAGAGTGTTGTCAGCACACATCCCAATATTCCATAATACCATTCTTTTTGGGATGGAGTGAGTAACATTTATAATTTTATATGCATATTGTGTAAAGAAACGAACAAAGAGAAAAACGTATAATTAAACATAAATATTTTTATAGGTATTAGATATAAATCTGTCGTGTCTCATTTACGTCGAATAGGACTTAACCTCACACGAGTCGCAACTAATCGTTGAAAGTCAAAGGTGCTGTGCTGCGAATGAAATCGTTTTCATTCTCAGTTTTTCTTTTCAGTGCCGAAATATATTTTGAGGACTTCCTCAGTTGTTACCTCAACTCATCTTTCTGTCGAAAAGCAGTAGTCTTTTTCATTCTGACCATTCAAAGCTCCTTTTACTACTTGGACGGATCTTCAGTGCTCCAGTTGAAATGGACACTTCTTTTTGCAGATTCCCCGCCCGAAGACTCATGAAAACGACTGTGTTCGTTGAGGAGTGGTGAATCAAAAATTACTTTTCAGGCACCAGGGTCATGGAGAACAGACAAAATTACGGTAGGTAACAGTCTTCGGACCGCTGCAAGCTCAGTACACAGTTTTTGAAAGATAAGGTCAGTACACAGTATGTACTGCATCATTTGCAAGCGATCTAGTTCATCATAGCTTAAGTCTCCATCTGAGTGTATTGCAGTACTTAAACCCATAATGATCCTTTGAGTTGAAGCACAGCTGTCGAGATTGAAGATTATTAGTTTGACATCTGCAGCTTGTTTGTCTCAATAATCACTAAAATAAGCCATGTTCAGACCAGGCAAATTGTTTCTCTTCTAGACATGGTACGTTATCAGAAGAAAATAGTGCCGTACTAGTTCAGAGAACATGTTCCTCGTGTAGTCATGATCAAGTTTGACTTTAAAATCGAACTGAAGAAAATTGGTTACTTCCATTCACCTAAATGTGTGATCAGAGTGTCCACATAGATCTCAGCGCCGCACAACATAGGCCTCGTTGTGCGTTTGAAGTGTGATCAGAGTGTCCACATATTCTTCACCTAAAAGCGGTTACTTTCATTCGCCTAAACCAGGCTCCTCACGAAGGGACTAGAGACCTTGCAAGTCCACTTAGAACAGCACGCACTCCTCTCCTCTGTGATAGGATACTGAAACTTGGGAGTCAAATGCTTGCTTGCTTTCACCTCCCACTCCCACTTGAAGCGCTCGATCGACCTTTCAGTGCATGTCTGCATGAACGATAGTCCTGGAAGTAGAAGGTTATATGCGCATCAGCATTCAGCACAACGCAACGCAAATATCCAAGCATCCAATGGGAGCAAACTCCTTTAGAATAATGGGTTCTACCATCAATCAGTGGCTCCAAATTCCAAAAGCGAAGCTCCTACTTGTGCCCATAATGGAGCCAGTCCGTGCATCTACGCACAGACGATGGAAGAAGAGGACATGGCATTCTCATATGCCGGTGTGGTCAAAGCCTCAAAGGCCTTCGTTCCGTGGCCGATGCTGCTTCCCTGTCAAGCTAGCATCCGGCGAGCGAACGCGAGATTCTTAACCGGCCTGAATGCCATCTAGATCGGCCGCTTTTGCCCGTGCGTGCCCTCGCTTTACCACTCATCATCATGGCCGCATCTGTGTCATTGAGGACGACTTCCTTTCCGATGCGTGCCGTCTTTTTGTCATCCATCCGGCTTTCTATGTCTAAGCAGCTTTAGTTTGTTCCTCGCCAACACCTTGTTCTTCTTGATCCAATGATCTTCAGTTTACACCTGACCCGTGCTAGCTATTTATAGTCTTTATTGTTATTAGACTATACACTTTTCTCCATCCTGCATGGCGACGTTGTGTCTTCATTTCTCTGTGTAGATTTTCTGATATATTCGAGTTGCATGCTTTCCAGTTCGTTTCTCCTGCTGCCAGATCCTGATACAGTGCTGCTGCCTGCCTGATACGTGAGATCGAGTTAATGTGCCCACACATAGAGTGGTCATTCTAGGCTAAAATCAGCTCTCTTTTTTTGAACGAGATATATATAGAGAGAGAAGATATGTCTCAACTCGGTCGGCATTTCCAAATTCCAATCCGGCATCACTTGCTTCGGTGACATGCATGTGCCTGAATACTCCCCCCACCTCCCCCCCTTTTCTTCCATTCCTCCTCTTGATCTATTCTGATTCCTTCAGATGATCTGCTCAAAGATATCGTAGTACTGTTGATCGATACATGCATCTCCAATTTGCAAACACATGTGCGCTTGCAACTTGAAGCCCCAAATAAAGCGTGCATCTGCAAGGAGCATAAGATCAGCCAGCCAATCAGTAAGCATGACCATCATGGAGCTCTGCAGCATCCGGGTTTGACATCGCCGCCATGTCGGTTTGACAGATGGGTGAAAGGCTGGCTGAAAGCGCATAAAACGCCCGCTCAAACCGCACGCGCGGTCAGCAGACTGCACTGGACGGGCGTGCAGTTCCATCAGCCAAAGATATGGGAATATTATACAGTATATTTCTGAGGAGCAAAGTTTTTTCGTTCTTTCTTTCGTTCTCGTCCGATGGGCATGTTTTGGCGAGAAACAGGAGGCGATGAAGCGGCTCTCTGCTCTGACCGGCAGTACTCTGAATGTGCTGAAGGGAGGGGTGAGGTCAGGATTCTCGAGAGAGATCTGGCGGGCAGATTGAGATTCTCGGCGAGGATACAAGACGATCTGCAATGCCCGGTGGAATATCGGATCACAATCGCGTCGGTGCCATAACGATTTTGATCTGCTGCAAAACCGCGGAATGCTGTCTTGCTCTTATGGCCGTGCTAACTGTAAAGGCGTCCCGCGGCGGATTCCTGACGGAGGAATTGTGAGAGCTTTACCGGGGCTTTCGAAAGTAAGGGAAGGCTAAACAGAGACGTGCTCCGACTCGCTGATTGAAACATTTCTCGTGGGAAATGGGAATCTCGTTTCTTTGTTTCTTCACATTTTCTCGTCTTGGGTAGTGACTAGTGAGTGCTCTTGGCAGCTTCAGGTGACCATGTCTGAACTTTCATCAGCCTGTCTAGTCCACTTTCGAAACGGGTTACAGACTCATTGTGACATCCATCCATTGGGTACGTAGGCCCCTGCATGTGTTACTGTCAAATAAACTATATATCCTTTGATAGATCATTTTGACCTGAAACAACGTACAGTACAAGAATTATGGCATCCTCTACAATTATACAAATATCCGAAGAGGCAACCTGTTGTAGATATGCGTTTTCTGAACCTTTATGCAGACATGACCACACATGATGTTTGGCCTGCTTGCACGCGAAATCAGCTGCTGCGGCCATGCCATGATGTGGTTGGTGGTGAGACTGATGAGCCCGGGCAAGGCAATGACAGGCACGCTGCATGCGCTTCAATTCGCAAGCTGCTGCTAGCTGCCGAAACCATGTACTCGAGGGCTCGAGGCACCCTCCGGCACGAGCGCGGCAAGCGGGGACGAGGACGACGCACTCCTCCCTCTGTCTGGTGGTAGTAGCCAGTAGCCGTCGCCCGTCTGCTTGTGCTCTCTGCCGGCCTTGCTGCCTTGGGCAGTGATGGCCTGAGGACGCAAGGCACCTGTCCATCATGGCACGGCAGCGTCGGGAAGCGGCCACAGATTCTATGCTGTCGCCTATTGGATCTGAGGAGGAACCAACCGGTTGGTTTGTGCCTTGTGCCTAGCCTAGAGAATTGTAGTGCTAGTATAATAAGTAACATAACAAATAGCATGTTCGGGAGGCCGTATCGTATCGTGGATTATTTACTGCTGGCTGATTTGGTGTGAGAGAAAAACATTGTTATCGGCTGGAAATTTACGATCGTTTACGAGCAAGCGAACGGGAAGGCGGCCACCATTTAGCCTGGTACTACTCTAGTAATCGGAGGAGATCGCCTTTCCGAACACGGAGACAGGGAAAGAAACACTTGTTTGTTCACTTCATGATGCCTGCGAAAAGCAGAAAGCGCCGGACCGGCGGAAGGATTTGCCCTGGACATTCCTGTGGTTTCCGTGCTGGGACACCATGAATCGATGACGACGGCACCGCGAGTTAAAAATACCATCAGGCATTCAGGCTTTCTTAACAAGAGAAGAAATGAACAGCAGATCATACAGCGACCAGGTAAGGTAGTGATAAGCTTTTGCTTTCCGACACCGCTACAACAACCCGGGCTGGGCATTGGACGCTAGCTTTTTGCTGGAATACACGTAGCTGACTCAAAGTCACATACTACTGATACGGTACTGCACAAGGCTGGTTGCTTACACGGCATCTACTCTTCGATTGGATTAGGATTAGGTGGTGGATGAATGGTGGATTGATTAACACGGCGACGGCGAGTGTTAGCTAGGGTCCAACGAAGACGAACGGAGGCGGCGGCGGCTGCTGCTGCTACCTGGCGCTGACGAAGGCCTTGATGTGCGCGAGCATCTCCTGCGTCCGCGGCTGGGACAGGTGGCAGTTGTGGAGCACCTGGAACGCGTGCCCGACGCCGCCGTACATGGCCTGCTCCACGCACTTGCCCGCCTTGCGCATGGCCCTGCACAGCTCCAGGTTGCGGTCCCGCAGGATGTCCATCTCCGAGATGCACACCAGGAGCGGCGGCAGCGGGACGGTCTCCAGGCGCGGCGCGGCGCGGGACAGCGGGTTGCACCAGGGGTGGTCGCGACTGGCTCCGCCCGGCAGCGCCAGTCGCCAGTAGCAGTCCGAGGTCGGGAGCGTCAGCGCCGACCGTGGCGGCTGCGCCATGTTCTTCTCGGACGCGGTGCGGGCCTCGCCGCCGAAGAAAGGCTGGATCAGGACGGCGCCCCTGACGGTCAAGGGGGACAGCGCGCCGAGGTGGCCCTGCCCGAGCCTCGCGGCGACGTGGAAGGCGATGCTGGCGCCCGCGCTGTCGCCCATGAGGAACACGCGGTCAAAGCCGCAGCGGGCCCGCCACCACGAGAGGTCGTCGCACGCCGCGGCGCCGCGGCTGGCCGCGGCCTGGGCCTGGTGCCGCAGCCACCGCACGGCCGCCAGACCGTCGTCGAACGCGGCGGGCAGGCGGTGCTCGGGCGCGAGGCGGTAGTCCACGGACATCACGGCGCAGCCCGCGCGCGCGGCGACCTGCGCCAGGAACTCGTGGTAGCAGCTCCAGGCCGCGGACCCGACGCAGAACCCGCCGCCGTGGAAGTACACCACGACGGGAGGCCTGCCTGTGCCTCCGCCCCCCGCGGACGTCGTCGTCGTCGTCATCGGGGCGTACAGCCGCGCCCACACCCCCGTGGCCGGGTCGACCACCACGTCCCTCGCGACGACGCCGCCCGGCGCGTCCGGAGCGGTGCCGCCCCACGTGCAGGGCACGGTCGGGATCGCCGGGAGGCGCTCGACGTGTCCGTCCTTGTAGACGCGGATCAGGCCGTGGATCTCCTCGACCACGGCGCCGTGGCCGTTCTTGGCGACGACTGCAGCAGGCTGCTGCTGGAAGCTGACCCTGGGCTCACCGACGACGTGCAGTGCCCCCATCGTCCTCCTCCTCATGCGAAGCTGCCGGCCTCACGGGCGGCACGGCAGGGGGCGGCAAAAGCAGCAAGCGGCTTCGGCCGTGCGATGTGTCACGTCCCTGGGGCCGGCGAGCGAGCACAATTATACAGTCGTGCGACCGTGTTGGGGGTGCCCTCGGCCGGCGTCGCGGGTTTTATAGCGGGGGCTGGGGAGAGGCGTTGGGCGCAAGGGCCAAGTGGGCTCCGCCGACAAGTGGAGACGGGTCATTCGCGACGTCGTGCGGGTGGGGTCGCCCGCCCGCGGAAAGCAATGGACTTTGGAAGAGGGCGTGAAAATGAAATAAAAACCCATCTCGTTCACGCGCGGCGCACGGGAAAGTCCACGGGGACGGATCCGGTGGCCCTTACCCTGTGCTCCTCTCTATGTCTATCCGTTCCTGCTGTTGTTGAGAGTTGAGACTTTCAGCACTGTGGCTAGTGGCTACGCTACTGCCTCAGTCTCTAAAAGAAAGACACCATAGAAATTTTCAAACAGTTTAGTGGAGACATAAAATGGTTTTTTTCTCTCCAGCATGCACATGTAATCATGTATACAGGTTGGTTTGTTGGCTTGGGCCAGGCAACGATTTACTAAACTCTAGGCGGACAAAATCGACTGTCTGAATCACAGTTGTCTGGACCGGGCGGTTTGGCCAGGTCCCAAGCAAACACACCGATAGTTAAGGGGATTAAAATGACAAGTTTTTAGGTACAAAATTTGAATGGTACAATCTTCTTAGAGACATATAGAGTATTTCTAAAAGCGAAAAAACAATGTGATATTGCGCCTTGAACTTTTTTATTACTTTATACACATTATTTTTATGTTTTTGTGTAAACTTGGTATAAATGATGTAGATAGTGACATACACACATGCATTCTTAAATTAACACACAATTAAAAATGATTTCAGATATTGCAACGATTGTGTTTTATGTTGTAGCTGTCTATGTGTCTTTCTCCTCTCTTTCTCCGTCTCGGTAATGTCTATAGTAGGTGCGACGTGAGGGTAGATGTTCAGTTTGTTTGAATGAGTGTGTGTTAGTCGCAGGGGGAAAGATGTCGAAGATAGTGCGTGACACGGATCGATCGATTGTCAACTATGAAACCATGTACATCTTCCGATATGGATATGGTAGGTACTATGATGAGTTACTACGATCAAACAGTTGGAACATTGATCCTTTTTTTTTTTTTTTTGCTCAGTTTACTTTTCCTAGTATTTTTAACGCGTCTCTGGTTGGTGTTGCGGTCTTTGGATTGTCGCTATACAACCTTAGGTAAAAATCAAGAAATTAATCCGTAACTTTGTTTATTCTAGTCCCTGTGAGATAAGTAACGTAACCGTAAATTTGTTGGCATGGATGATTAGATGAACATACGTATCATTTTACTTCTGCAACATGGGAGTCTTGTCATTGCCGCTGACTCCAGAATCTGATTGACCAACGGGCTGTGATCGTAAATAATCCAGCTCATATGCCAATAGAAGAAAGTGGAGGTGGGTGGGGTTGCGACCTGGTGGGTGCACGTTGGATTCGCATGCAAAGTGGAATTACTACCTTGTTTTTTTTTTAAGTTTTGTAAAATTCTTTGATTTTAGAGTGTAATGAAGCGTGCAGATGTAACAAATTTTATATAGTGTTGAAAATTCGTAATATAGCTAAAATTGTCTTGGGAGTTTTAAAAACTCCACTCTACACCTCATTTTTATAAACCATAGTTTTACACGTCTATGATGAGTTTTAAACCTTCTATTTGTTAATATAGGTGTTTCTGAATACTTTAGCATTTAAATAGGGCCTAATTTCGTTTTTTCGTAAAAAGATAAAACTTTTCAGCATATATATATATATATATATATATATATATATATATATATATATATATATATATATATATATATATATATATATATATATATATATATATATATATATATATGAACTTTCTAAAGATAAGTACTTAGTAAATATCATCCACTATTTCCAAATATGTGCGTGTGGGGCTGGCCCTAGCTTCGGCCGATCGAGAGTTGCCAACGATTGAATGGGGGCGGGGGTGGGGGTGTTGTGGTCAGCTGGCGCGTAGGTCTAGGGGTAGCACATAAGAAAATCCATGTCATGAGCCTAGTTTATCTAGCAAAATATTATAAATTATTGGAGAAAGGCGAAATTTGAACTTCTACCTATTTTGTTCACGGAGTTACATTGTGACCGTGAAATAATATTTGTGTCCTAAAATATAAGGTATCAAAATGATTTCGGATAAAATAAATTCCCTAATAAAAAACCATCTTACCCTTACTAATTAGAGACCATCATACCCCTTACTAAATAGGATGGACGGAGTAGTTGTTACTTAACTTACAACCTATTCGTTTGGTCGTATTTGGTTTATAAGCTATGACTTATCAGTCCAACAAATAATATTTTTCTCTCACACCAAATTAGCCAATAATATTTTCAGCCATGGCTTGTAAGCCAAACCAGCCCAAACGAACAGGGCCTTAGTTATCGGCTGGCTGTTTTGGATGACATCAAATTTAAAAGAAATCTCACAATTTTCTGTTAAAAAGGAAGAGGAGAGAGGAGGTTGACGACCCATAATACCTTATATTTTCGTATAAATTTTGAACTCTAGATCTCTATATTTTAAGACAGGGAGAATTAAACAAAATACCAAAATTTTTTGAAAGTCCATGCCTGGAGCTTAGCTGCTCCATAATGTAGTGGTTGTTCGAATACGACGTCCTTTTTGTGTTGACGTGATGACTTGACTTGCACCAGCCGCCTCGAAATAAAGCGTTTATAAGATTATACTAAGTTGTCAAGTTAAAAAAACAATAATATTTACGGTATCTACTTAGCATCATTAAGCTTATTATGAAGATAGTTAATAATACTTTTTATGTTGATATGCTTCTTTATATTTTTTAAAAAAAATTAGGATTGTTTTACTTAGGATAAAACTACAAATGTTCATATTTCACAAAGAAGATAATATTATACCTTGCACCCTCTTTTATTAAATGTATTCATATTGAAATATGTTAGGCTTTGAAATTCGAGTTATATATCATGTTTTGTGTAAAAAAAGAAAACCTTTGAGTACAATGGGTAAAAAAGGTACTCCCTTGGCTAATGAAAATATGTTGTTTATGGCAAGTTGACCGAAGGTAGTATAGCAACACACTCCGTCCTATTCCACGGTACTAGGGATATGATGCTGATCTTGACAAATATGTCGTAGCAAAAACTTAAAATCATGATGTACTTTTGAAGATCGTCTCCATAACAAATTAAAATACGCCGTACAATAATCCTGCCATGTTAGTTAGCACCGTGTCATTTGCTCGTCCACAATCTTCTCGCTCAGAACATAATGGTCGCTTTGATGTCACAGAACCTAAACCTTAACCAAAGGTTTTATATGACATGCTTTTCTAACAAATAATCAACAGTAATGGTAAGATGATAGAGTACACTTTTAAATATGAAAACGACTTTTTTATAACATTATAACAGTCATCTACCATTGGACACTTGTACAATTGTTGGACAAGTTGACGATCAAAACATATAAAATTAAGGTGGTGTTTGGATCATTAGTCAAGGACTAAAGTTTAGCCCCTAAAGTTTAGTCCTGCTGGGCTGTTTGGATCCATGGGTTAAACTTTAGTTCTCTAATCTACAATACTTGATATGCCCTCATTTAATTATTCATGTACAGCCATACATACGAGTGGCAAGGGGTATGGGGGCATTAAGCACCCGCCTCGAGGGAGTTTAGCCCAGTTTTGGACCTCTTTAGGAGCAAAAGATTTTAACCCAGTTTTTAGCCATTTGATCATTTTTAGGTCCTCCGTTTGGATCCCCATGACAAAAAAATGGCTAAAAGTGCATGGCTAAAGTTTTGCCATGGGATCAAACAGGGCCTGAATTTATAAACATGCTTATGTCTAAAGTAGTACTCCCTCCATACTAAAAAATGAAATCGTTTTGGACAGCGACACGGTCTTCAAAGTATAACTTTGACTACTTATTTTTATAAAGATATTTATCAAAAAGTGATATATGTAAATTTATGTGAAAGTGTTTTTTAAGACAAATCTATACATATGATTTTCATATTTCCAAACTCAACAACTTAAAAGTTATTCATGATTTATATTCACAATGTTTAACCCAAGCCTGTCCAAACGACTTCATTTTTTAGTATGGAGGGAGTACTCCGTAGATAGAACAAATTAAGGTGGAAATAGAAGAAAATTTTGGACCCGGATAGGCGGTTGATGATCATATATATATTCTTCAGAGCAAGGGCTGGATTAACGAGCCAGCTCAGCACGGCTCGTTCTAGTTCGTTATCCAACGAGGCTCGTTATCTTAACGAGCTAGAAGGCTTGCTCGGCTCGGCTCGTTTACGAGCTTGAGCTGGCTCGTTTAGCTCGCGAGCTAGATAAAAAAAACACAGAAAGATAATATATGCATTTATCTAAAGCTTGAGAATAGTTTATACAAAAATAATAAATCTATAAGCCTTAAATTAAACAAAAAATTAATATGTGCTAACATATACACATGTTTAACAATATACTGTATTATCTATGTTCCATACTCCATACTATACATAATGCATTCATAGTCTTTTACTAATTGTCGGATATCGTTATTAGGGATACCCAAAGCAAGGAGGTTAACGCCCACGCTGACTCCTCTGGACGGCTCGAGACGTATTAAAAGGTCTCGAGCGACCCCAAGGCCGTGGGCTCCATCTTGCCCAAGGTCGCGGGTTCCGTCTCGCCCGACCCCTCGGGTGCGGGCTCCGTCTCGCCCAAGGCCACGAGTTCCGTCTTGCTCGACTCCTCGGGTGTGGGTTCCAAGGCCGCGGGCTCCGTCTCGCCCGACCCTAAGGCCGTGGGCTCCGACTCGCCCGACCCATTGGGTTCGTGCTCCATCTCGCCCGACTCTAAGGACGCGGGTTCCGTCTCGTCC